CACCCCTCTGACGCCCAGCGTACCACTCACGAAGCTGCTGAGGCGAAGGGATGTCCCGCGAGCGCTGCTGCTACTGCCGGTGCGAGCGCTGGCCACCACCACCGCCGCTACGCTGCTGGGTACCACCCCGACCAGCTCCACCTCCTCCACCACTACTGCCTCCTCCGCTGCCGCCTCCACTGCCTCCACCTCCGCCGCCTCCACCTCCGCCGCTGCCTCCACCACCACCGCTGGCACCACCACCACCGTCTCCGCCGCTGCTGCCGCCACCACCACCACCACCCCCGCCACTAGCCCCGCCGCCACCCCCACTCCCTCCGCCGCCACCGCCGCCACCGCCACCGCCCCCTCCAGCTCCACCCGCGCCCTTGCCCCCCTTGCCCTTGCTGGAGCGACGTCTCCCACTAGGGGCAGACGCCGCGCCGACCGACTCAAGACCAAGCAGGTCGGCAGCAGCAGCAGAGGCAACAGAGGGCAGCAAGGGGGAAGGAGAGCACCCCTCAAAGATGGGGGTGCGAGGGTCACCACGAGAAGCACCTACAGCGACTATGCTCTTCTCCGCTGCAAGGAGGGCCTTCTCGAGGAGGTCGACGGTGAGAGTGGTGGGACAGACTGCGAGAAAGTGGTCCCTGACGACGCGAAGGGAGTCAGGGAGGCGTGCGACTACGTAGTAGAGAGCGATGTACATGGGGGGGGGGTTCTTAGCGCAGAACTCAGCAGGAAGGGCGGCGCGGAAGCGAGTGTCACTAGTGCGGAGGTGCGTAATGAGGTCAGCGACAGTGGGAAAGGCAGAGAGGTCAGGAAAGAGGTAGGGAAGCATGAGACGGCTCAGTGCAGCAGTGGCAGGGGAGGAGTAGCGCGCAACTACAGCGTCGTACAAGGTCTGAGCACTCTTGTACTGACTAAAGTGCGCACGCTCAGAGGTAGGGAGGTGGCGACGCACAGCAAGACGTGCAGCAGCATCGCGGGTGGCCCACTTAGAGCGGACAGCGGGATCAGCATCAGCAGCAGGAGCAGGAGAGGCGCCAGAAGTGAGCAGGGGCCGCGTCAAGGGAGGCGGCAGGGCCGCGTCAGGGGAGGCGGCGGGGCCGCGTCAGGGGAGGCGGCGAGGCCGCGTCAAGGGAGGCGGCGGGGCCGCGTCAAGGGAGGCGGCGGGGCCGCGTTAAAAGAGGCGGCGGGGCCGCGTCAAGGGAGGCGGCTGGGCCGCGTCAGGGGAGGCGGCAAAGCCGCGTCAGAGGAGGCGGCGGGGCCGCGAGTGAAAAGGCGACCCGAGGGGTCGCTAAAAAAAAAGGGCGCGCCTCGGGGCGCGCGTCGGTGGGCCCAGACAACGGTCCTAAGGTAGGACCCGCTCTATACCATGTGAAAATAGGAAAACAGGAATGAATGAACTATGAATGAAAGCAGTACAAATATGAAACCCTAACTGGGTTGTACCCCCTATGGGATACCCCACTACAGCCTACACAGCAGTATAAGCTATAGATATGTTCTGACAGTAGGCAGCAGGCAAAGGCAGTTCAGGCAGCGCGCGGGGCAGTAGCAGGCCACGCTTAGGCTACAGCAGCGGGCCGCGCACGGGCTTCTAAGGCAGCTCGCGGGGCAGCAGCAGGCCGGACGCGGGCTCCTACAGAGGCATGCAGGGCAGCAGTGGGCCACGCTGGCGACGAATGCGGCGCGCGAGGCCTAAGCAGGCGGCGCGCGGCGGCGGGCTACGTGTGAAAGAACGAGGAATGAATGAACTAGCAAGCAGGTGGGTACAAGTAGGAAACCCTAGAAATGTTGTACCCCATATAGTCTACCCCACTACAGCCTACACAGACTCTAGCATATGAGTTTGACACACCCCCATAGGCAAAGTGGGGGAGAACAAGAGGTCACAAGACCAGTCAAGCAAAGCAAAGCAAGCTCAGGGTGGATCACAACGTCACCACACAATCCGAGCACAAGAGCAAGGCCAAAAGGCCAGTTCACATGCAAGATCATATACAAAGGTAAACAAGCAAGTGCAGGTATAGAAAGATCACAGTACAAGCAAGGTCAAGAAGTGAGCAAGTGAGGCCAAGTAGGCACAAGACCTAGCAACGTAGAGAAGCGCTGATGATCACAAGGCGGAAGTGCCTTGGTAAAGATATCAACAGTGTTGGCCTTAGAGGCCACATATGCAAGGCGCAGCTGACCAGGCTGCTGCAGTTCATGAGCAAGGAAGTACCAAAGAGCAATGTGCTTCGTTCTGTGCTCCAGTATGCGTTCTCAACACAAGGCCAGCATGACCTTGTTGTCTCCGGACAAAACTAGAGGAGAACGAGGCGGCTCTCCTAGGTCAGTCAGCAGGTAGGTGAGCCAGCGTAGCTCCTGTGCAGCCATGGCCCCCGCGTAGATCTCGGCCTCACAGCTGGAGCTGAGAACAGAAGACGAGCGGGTAGACCGCCATGAAAGAGAGCCGGAGCCAAGGCTGAAGGTGTAGCCCTGTGACGACCGCTGCGTAGCCTGGTCGTCAGCCCAAGAATCGTCAGCGTGACCAGTCAGGACCACTCGACGTCGCCCTCCGAGCACTAGCCCCATGCCCAACGTACTGCACAAGTAGCGCAACACCCGCTTTGCTGCAGCCATGTGCTCCGGTCTGTGTCTCCCAGGAGCAACATAGCGTGTCAAGATGCTAAGAGGGTATGCAAGGTCAGGTCGAGTGCAGGTCATCAGGTACATGAGGCAGCCAACAAGCTCTGGGTACGGGCCACTCGGCTCTACGGACTCATCCGAAGGGAGAGCTGAGAGCGAGTGGCGAGTAGACAGAGGAGTGGCCTGAGGCAAGGAGTAGGTGAAGCCGAAGCGCCAAAGGACCTGCTGCACCATGTGTGACTAAGTCAGGGTAATGGTGCGCTGTGCTCTGTCCCGGGTGATCTGCAAGCCAAGGTAGCTGCGCAGTTCACCTAGGTCTGTGTACGTGTGTCTCTTCTGCAGCTCGGACTTCACGTGGGCGAGTCCAGCAGTGTCAGCAGTGGCAAAGACCAAGTTGTCGACGTACACGAGGATGTAGAACGGCGGCAAAGAGGTGTCGGTGCGCAGAAACAGCGACGGGTCGGCAGTAGAAGGAGCAAACCCAAGAGCTGCAAGCGTAGTCCTCAGTGTGTCGTGCCACTCACGCGGTGCCTGGCGGAGACCGTAGACTGGCCGCCGGAGGCTCCACTGGGTACCAGGAGGAAACGACCCAGTGAAGCCAGGTGGGCGGCGCAGCCAGATCTCCTCATGCAGGCTGCCCTGTAGGAAAGCTGTGCTGAAGTCAAGAGAGTGAAGCTCGTAGTCGCGCTGAGCGGCTATGTGCAGCAGCACCCTGAGGAGATTAACTCTACAACGGTAGTGAGCTAGACTACAGGGGTTGGCACGAACTACTAGAGGTGATCTTAGCTTTGCTTGGTTCCTTAGAGCTTGCACATTCACGGAAGAATTTGGCAAGATTTTCCACTAGCAAAGTTAGAATTCCAGAATGATTCAAGAAGCAATGACAACAATGACTACATCCGGCACATAGCAACCCTGCAGCTAGCTTGGCCGACCGCCAATGCAGCTCGGTCGACCGCCTGCCAGCATTGCGTAGAGGAGCCGCGCCAGCATTGCAGAAGGGCGACCTGCCAACAAAGCAGGTTGACGGCGTGCCGCGTAGAACACAGCAGTGCGCGCGCTTGCAGGTGTGCGCAGACGATTGGCCCGACTTGCCTCGTTGGGCATCCGTCGGCTGTTGTCTGCGCCTCACGAGCCACATCGACTTCGGGATACGAGCTCGAAGTCGCCTGCGCCATCGCGATCTTGACGACGTTCGCGTGCCTCCGCAGAACTCGTTGAGTAGGTTACCCGGTCGACCTGGTCGACCCCTGGTGCTCTGGTCGACTCCCAGGTGCCTCCCGTCGACCACTGGGTCCCTCTGGTCAACCACCGGGTGCTCCTGTTCGACCACACCTCCCGTCAAGCTACCCCTTGGTCGACGGACCCGTCGGCGCGCCTTGAAGACACGCGTTTGAACCCGGCGGCCGCTTCACCCTGAAAATCCACATGCCACTGAGGATGTTCGCCCCAGGTGGGGGAGCCTCGTCGACGTAGGTGCCTGTGGACTTCCAGGAAGCCATCTCTGCGTCCATGCTTGACTGCCACTAAGAGGAGTAGGGACCCTCGATCGCCTCAGCATACAATCGAGAAGTCGGGATGTCTAGTGCATCCGGGTCTCCCTCAGGGGCAATCAGCGTGGACACGAGATGAGGCAAAGCAACAGCAAAACACTGTAACTCCTCTTGCCTGTCCTCAATGACGTCCGTGCTAAGAGCACACTCACCCTCGACGGACGGAGGACAGACAGACTCAGACTCAGCAACAAGACTAGCAGCGTAGTCTAGACGAAAGCGAGAAAAAAGGTCAACAAGCTCTGCACCCAGGGCCGACGCAGCAGTGGACTCAAAGGAAGGGTCAGTGACAAAAGTGGCCATGAGACGCGTGACAGTAGGACTGGCAGCACGAACAGAGTCAGACTCCGGGTCAGCAAGAACATGAAGAGAGGACTCTGGAGGAGACGGCAACGGGACATGCAGAGGAGCAGTGGAAGAACGCAGTGCCATCTGGTGTGTGCCTGGGATCGCACGAGGACGCGGACGCTGAGTACGACGGCTAGTGCGAGCCGCATGAATAAGCGACGCAGGACGAGACGCAGGCTCACGACGCTTATCAAGACCTCCAATAGGACCAGTGTAGGGAGAAGGAGCAGGTAGGGGGGAGGCGGGCTCTAAGTGCAGACTCAGGACCAGACCTGGACGCTGCAGCAAACACCTGACTCGACGCACCTACCTGACCAGACTTAGCAGCCGGAGGAGACTCAGTAGTACGTGTGTACATGCTCGACCCCGATCGACGGGTGAACGTGGCCAAGTGTTGGCCTGTCCGAGCACACGTGTAGTGGGTCACCCACTGACTAGCACGAGTAAACTAGTCAACCCCCCTATCCTCTAGGTGAGCTCCACTCACCAAGTTTGTTGAGAAAAAGGGGAGGTAGAGACCGGACAGGGTGCCAGAGATAGCTGCCGGGCACGATAAGACACTGGAGAAGCTAGCAAGGACTCACCAGCACCTGGGGCAGCAGACGCACTAGCACCTAGAGTAGCAGCCTCACCAGCACCTAGAGCAGCAGCCTCGATGCCCGGGTCAGGCGAAACACACAGGTGACAGTCACCCTCATCACTAGTAGACACAGCATACATGGCAGCAAGAATAGCATCATAATCAAGATCAAAGATAGCAATCCCACCCCTAGACAAAACGTCTCAGCAAGAGATCTTAGTGGCGTCAGGGAACTGGTGACGCCACGTGTCCGTCAAGCGGCCGAAGCAGCACTGGGTGCAGTGCGGGCCCTCGAACTGCTCACCAGCATGGTCGCCTGTACGGAGGACATAGGTGCAGGGACCAATACCCCCACCTCGCTGACGCCCAGCATACCACTCATAAAGCTGCTGAGGGGACAGGGTCTCACGACTGCGCTGCTACTACTGGCGCTGACCACCACCGGAGCCACTCCTCTGCACAGAGCCGCAACTAGCTCCACTGCTGTCGACGTCGCCTCCGCCACCTCTGTCGCCTCCGCCACCTCCGCCGCCTCCGCTCCCTCCGCCACCGCCGCCGCCTCCACCGCCTCCAGTGCTGCCACCGACACCTCCACCCCCGCCACCACTCCCACCACCACCCCCACCCCCTCCACTGCCTCCACCACCACCTCCACCGCCCCCGCCAGCCCCTCCAGCGCCCTTGCCCCCCTTGCCCTTACCGGTGCGGCGTCTCTCACTAAGGGCAGACGCAGCGCCGACCGACTCGAAACCAACAAGGTCAGCCGCAGCAGTAGAAGCAACAGAGGGCAAGAGGGGGGAGGGGGAACACCCCTCAAAGACGGGGGTGCGAGGGTCACCACGAGAGGCTCCTGCAGGGACTATGCTCTTCTCTGCTGCTAGGAGGTGCTCCTCGAGGACGACAACGGTGAGTGTGGTGGGGCAAACTGAGAGGAAGTGGTCCCTGACTAAGCGAAGGGAGTTAGGGAGCCGGGTGACTATGTAGTAGAGGGCGATGTACATGGGGTGGGGGGTTCTTGGCGGAGAACTCAGCAGGTAGCGCAGCGCGGTAGCAAGTGTCACTAGTGCGAAGGTGTTTAATGAGGTCAGCGATTATGGGAAAGGAAGCAAGGTCAGGGAACAGGTACGGCAGCATGAGGCGGCTAAGCACAGAAGTGGCAGGGGAGGAGTAGCGTGCAACTACAGCGTGGTACAAGGTCTTAGCACTCTTGTACTGGCTAAAGTGTGCACGCCTAGTGGTCGGTAAGTGGCGACGCACAGCAAGGCGAGCAGCAGCATCGTGTGTAGCTCACTATGAGCAAACAGTGCTGTCAGCAGTTGCAGGCGGGGCAGGAGAGACACCAGAGGTGAGATCGAACAGAGAGAGTCCGTCTGCCCTATCGCACTGTAGGAGCAACTGGAGGTCATCGACCCAGACCTTAAAGTCAACAGCACGACCCTCAGCATCGAAGGTAAGGACACTGGGGGTAGCCATAACAGCAGTGGTCTAGCAGGGAATGATCTCACCAGTCCGAGTAAGTGGGGCTGGGGCGCGTCAGTAGGAGCAATAAGGGCTCGACGGCAGGGCGGCTCGGCGGCTCGGCTGCTGGGCGGCTCGGCGGCTCAAGGGGTCGGTTGCTGGGCGGCTCGGCTGTTGGGCGGCTCGGGTGTCGAGCGGTTCGGCGGCTGAGTGGCTGGGCGGCTCGGCTGCTCGGCGGCTCGGGTGTAGGGCGGCTCGGCGGCTGAAGGGGCCGCTAGGGGCGGCAACGAGGCCGCGTAGGGAGGGGAGCGGCGACGGGGCCGCTAGGGGCGGCGAGGGGGGGCTGCATAAGTGAGAAGAAACGAGAACGGATGCATTGAGCAGAATGAGGAGTACAAGTAGTAAACCTATAAGTGTTGTACCCCATATGAACTGCCCCACTACAGCCTACACATACTATAGCATATATGCTTGACACACCCCCATAGGTAAAGTGGGGGAGAACAAGAGGTCACAAGACCAGTCAAGCAAAGCAAAGCAAGCTCAGGGTGGATCACAACGTCACCACACAGTCCGAGCACAAGAGCAAGGCCACAAGGCCAGTTCACATACAAGATCATATATATAAAAGTAAACAAGCAAGTGCAGGTATAGAAAGAGGACAGTACAAACAAGGTCAAGAAGTGAGCAAGTGAGGCCAAGTAGGCACAAGACCTAGCATAGTACATAAGCGCTAATCATCACAAAGCGGAAGAGCCTTGGTGAAGATATCAGCAGTGTTGGCCTCAGAGGCCACGTAGGTGAGGCGGAGCTGACCACGCTGCTGCAGCTCACGAGCCAGGAAGTAGTGGAGAGCAATGTGCTTCGTTCTGTGCTCCAGTCTGTGCTCCCGACACAAGGCCAGCATGGCCTTGTTGTCTACGTACAGAACTGGAGGAGAACGAGGCGGCTCTCCTATGTCAATTAGCAGGTAGGTGAGCCAGTGTAGCTCCTGTGCAGCCATGGCCCCTTCGTAGATCTCAGCCTCACAGCTAGAGTTGAGAACAGAGGACGAGCGGGTAGACCGCCACAAAACAGAGCCGGAGCCAAGGCTGAAGGTGTAACCCTGTGACGGCCGCTGCAGAGCCTGGTCGTCAGCCCAAGAAGCGTCTGCGTGACCTGTAAGGACCACTCGACGTCGCCCTCCAAGCACTAGCCCCATGCCCGACGTACTGCACAAGTAGCGCAACACCCTCTTCGCTGCAGCCATGTGCTCTGGTCTCTGTCTCCCAGAAGCAACATAGCGTGCCAAGATGCTAAGAGGGTATGCAAGGTCAGGTCGAGTGCAGGTCATCAGGTACATGAGGCAGCCAACAAGCTCTGGGTACGAGCCACTCGGCTCTACGGACTCATCCGAAGGTAGAGCTGAGAGCGAGTGGCGAGTAGACAGAGGAGTGGCTTGAGGCGAGGAGTACGTGAAGCCGAAGCGCCGAAGGACCTGCTGCACCATGTGTGACTGAGTTAGGGTAATGGTGCGCTGTGCTCTGTTCCGGGTGATCTGCAAGCCAAAATAGCTGCGTAGTTTACCCAGGTCTGTGCACGTGTGTCTCTTCTGCAGCTCGGACTTCACGTGGGCGAGTCCAGCAGTGTCAGCACTGGCAAAGACCAAGTCGTCGACGTACACGAGGATGTAGAATGGTGGCTGAAAGGTGTCGGTGCGCACAAACAGCGACGGGTCAGCAGTAGAGGGAGCAAACTCAAGAGCCGCAAGCGTAGTCCTCAGTGTGTCGTGCCACTCGCGCGGTGCCTGGCGGAGACCGTAGACTGGCCGTCGGAGGCTCCACTAGGTACAAGGAGGAGACGACCCAGTGAAGCCAGGTGGGCGGCGCAACCAGATCTCCTTATGCAGGCTGCCCTGTAGGAAAGCTGTGCTGAAGTCAAGAGAGTGAAGCTCGTAGTCGCGCTGAGCGGCTATGTGCAGTAGTACCCGAAGAGTGGTCATCTTCAGGGTGGGAGAGAAGGTCTGAAAATAGTCAAATCTCTGCCACTAACTCAAGCCTCGAGCCACGTAACGCGCCTTGAAGACACGCGTAGAACCCGGCGGCCGCTTCACCCTTAAAATCCACATGCCACTAACGATGTTCGCCCCACGTGGGGGAACCTCGTTGACGTAGGTGCTTGTGGACTTCCAGGAAGCCATCTCTGCGTCCATGGTCGGCTGCCACTGAGAGGAGTAGGGACCCTCAATCGCCTCAGCATACGATCGAGGAGTCGGGATGTTTGGTGCATCCGGATGTCCCTCAGGGGCAATCAGCGCGGACATGAGATGGGGCAAAGCAGGAGCAAAGCACTGGAACTCCTCCTGCCTGTCCTCAAGGACGTCCGTGCTAAGAGCACACTCACCCTTGACGAATGGAGGTCAGACAGACTCAGACTCAGCAACGAGACTAGCAGCGTAGTCTAGATGACAGCTAGCAGTGAAGTCAACAAGCTCAGCAACTAGGGCAGATGCAGTAGTGGACTCAAAGGAAGGGTCAGTGACAACAGTAGCCAGGAGACGCGTGTTAGAAGGACTAGCAGCACGAAGAGAGTCAGACTCCGGGTCAGCAAGAGTAGGAAGAGAGGACTCTGGAGGAGACGGCAACGGGGCACGCAGAGGAGCAGTGGAAGGACACAGCACCATCTTCTGTGTGTCGGGGACCGGAAGAGGACGCGGACGCGCAGCACGACCGCTAGTGCGAGCAACACGAACAGGCGACGCAGGACGAGACACAGGCGCACGACGCTCAGCAAGACCTCTAGTAGGACCAGTGTAGGGAGAAGGAGCAGGTAGAGGAGAGGCGGGCTGTAACTGTAACTACGACTGGACAGGCTGTGGACACTCGAAGGGAGGAGCAGGACCAGGAGAGGGCCGGAGACCAAGAACCTGCTTCAGGAGCGGAACAAAGTATGGCCTCGGCCGCGCCGCGCCTCCAGAACCAGCAAGGATGGCACCAGTACCCCCAGCGGCAGCACCAGCGCAAGCACTACCAACTCCAGTAGGAACGTCAGCTCTAGCAGCCTCAGCAGCACCCCCAGATGCACCAGCGCCCGTAGAAACACCAGCGCCAACACCCCCAGTAGCTCCAGCTCTAGCAGCACCAGCACCGCCAGTAGCTCCAGCAGGACCAACTGCCATAGCCCCAGCAGCTCCCCCAGTCCCAGCAGCACGTCTCCAGCGACGGGCAAACCACTCGCGCAGCTCCTGTGGAGACAGTGGCTCCCGCCTTGACGAAGCACCGCCGGTGGCCACACGAGCAGACCCAGCGTCCCAAGCTCCGCACCCCCAGGCTCCGCACCCCCAGGCTCAGCACCCCCATGCTGAGCACCCCCAGACCTAGCACCCCCAGGCTCAGCACCCCCAGTCGAGACACCCCCAAACTCAGCACCCCAAGACTCAGCACCTTTAGACCCGGCACCCGTAGGCGCAGCACCTCTAGCACCACAAGAGTCAACAACTTCCTCGACAGACTCGACTGCGTCTACCTGGGACACACCTGATGGGGCAGGACCGTGAAGGGGGAGGGGGTCTACCGGGGGAGGACCTGGCGCAAGGAAGAGCGGCGGCGGGGGGAGGGGCGCAGTGCGGTAGGGGAAGAAACGATAGTAAGGCACTGACTCGTTAAAGGTGATGTCCTGGGAGGACATAACACGGCGCGAGGTGGGGTGGTAAAACTGCCACCCAGGCGCGTCAGGGGGGAAGCCAAGGAAGACGCAGGGAACAGCACGAGGGGACAGCTTGTCCGCAGACAAGTCGCGGACAAACGCCCGAGATCCCCAGACCGGAAATGCAAACGCATCGCCAACCTTCCTGATCCACCGCAAGGCGGGGGAGGTCTCTGGCAAGGAGACCCGGGGCTGAAGGTTGAGCTGATGCGCTGCGTACTGAACTGCAAACGGCCACAGAAAATGGGGGGCAGCCGCATGGATCATGGACGTACAGAAGGCTCCCAGACGGGCAGAGGAAAAGTCTCCGCCTCTGTCAGAGTGCAGACGCAGAACAGGAAAGTCCGAGCCGAAACTCTCCCTGAGCTGGAGACGAGCTGCGCGGATCCAGTCGATCAACACCTCAGTGACGTCACCCTTGCTGCGCAAGGGGAAGACTGTGGTGTAACGCGAGTAGTTGTCCACCACCAGTAGGAAGTACCGCTCGTGCCCCTGCCCACGGACGCGGGCGGGGCCCCACACGTCCATGTGGAGGGTCTGTAGCAGAGCCTCTGTCGGAGGAAACTCGGAGGAGTGAGGGGCGGCGCGCTCTCGCCCCTCAACAAAGGGGACGCAAGTAGGGCCACGCCCCGGAGGTAGGGGAGGGAGAGACCAAGGGAGACCAGAGACAAGGACACGGGAGGCCATGCCTCGGAGACGAGGCAGGGAGGGGTGACCAAGGCGGTGGTGACAAAGGAGAGTCTGGTGGGACAGTAGACGGCACGAGCAGGGAGCAGACTCAGGACCAGACCTGGACGCTTCAGCAAACACCTGACTCGACGCAGCTACCTGGCCAGACTCAGCAGCCGGAGGAGACTCA